AGGGAGCTGCTGCGTGGTTCTAAGTTGCCGGCTGGGCTTAAACCACGACATGTACACAGCTCTTTAATGTCTTCTTTTACTCTCATTGTTCAGTATGGGGCCTGATATCTGATATATTGCACAGTGTTAAAAGTCTGATCTAAAGATGGAAGGAGTAACCACCTTACAGGCTCTTCTGAAGTGGCTCATCCTTATGATATCTGAATGTGTGTCCTGGGTTCAGGACAGTGTGTCACAAGCATTAATATTAGGAAGCCCTTATGTAGTTACCGTGACCTTTTACAAATACGTGAATCAGGGGAATGATCTCCTGATTTTATTTTTCAGGTTGAAAGGAAAGCCCTGGGGTGATATTTCACTGTAATTCAGCACTACACAGCACTTCACATGGTCAAAGCACAGCTTTTACCCTTCTTTATGCAAATATCCTCTTTACACAAAAATAGAGTGGCTTTTATTGGCTTTTTATTTAAAATGCTTCCTACTGAGTGAATGAAAGAAAGAAGTAGAAGAGGAAAAATGTGAAATTTCAACTGCATATGCTTGAATTTCAGGTAAGTTGTTGCAAATGGGTTTGCCCAGCTCATCCCGATTATGGAGCTTTCAGAGGACACAGGACAGTGCTTCTGAGTGTCAGCAGGGTTGTGACACTGCCCCGAGCTTATGTATATGAACATGCCCCTGTAAACAGAGCCAGGGCAAATGTTTCCTGGCTGGCTGCAAGCAGGGCAGTTGTGATGGCACATGGACATACCCCTAGCACTGAGTCTCGCAGGATGCCTCTTTGCTGGGGACACTCCAGAACTGATCAAAATTAGACACAGGTGAGTGGAGAGACGTGTAATAACTCTGGAGTAAAACCTAATCCAAATCTGTAATTTACACAGTTATTCCTGAATAATCCTGACCCTACCCCACCCCCATCCCTACATACAGAGTATGGATAACTGAAATAGTGAGTATTCCAAGCATTCCTATTTGTGTTCTGCATCAGAAAATAATGTTTTCAAAGAGCTGAATGTACTACAGAACCCCAGCGTCTTTTTGTCAGTGCATTTGGCAATGCAAGTCTGATGCTGCAAGTCCATGAAGACAGAGGCACAAAATAGGACCACCACTCCCTCGTTGGCAAAAGCAGCATGAGACACTCGTTCATGGGGATGGAAAGCAGCAGCCTCCCGTCTATTGAGGGATATCAATATTTTCCTACTCCAGCGAGTTCCCTGGGCTCGTGGCAGCACTCTGATCCCCAAGCTCACCACCCCTGGGCAAAAGAAAGCCATGCGCACAGCACAGCACTTGTGACTGATGGTCATCCCTGACTCCATGTGCTGAGATGTTGTTATCTTATCATAGAATCACAGAGTGGTTTGGGTTGGAATGGACATTAAGGCTCATCCAGTTCCAATCCCCTGCCATGGGTAGGAACACCTTTCACTAGACCAGGCTGCTCCAAGCCCTGTCCAACCTGGCCTTGAACATGCGGGGGTGGGGCCAGCCACAGCTGCTCTGGGCAACCTGTGCCAGCGCCTCACCACCCTCACAGTAAAGAACTTCTTCTTAAGATCTCAGTCTCCTCTCTGCCCTGTTAAAGCCATTCCCCCTTGTCCAGTCCTTACAGGCCCTTGTCCAAAGCCCCTCTTCAGATTTCTTGTAGCCCCTTTAGGCACTGGAGCTGCTCTAAGTTCTCCTGGAGCCTTCTCTTCCCCAGGCTGAACCAGCCCAGCTCTCTCAGCCTGTCTCCAGAGCAGAGCTTCTCCTTTGCAGCATCTCCGTGGCCTCCTCTGGACTCACTGCAACAGCTCCACGTCCCTCTTGTGCTGTTGCCGCAGAGCTGGAGGCAGGACTGCAGGGGGCGTCTCCCCAGAGTGCAGTAGGGGGGGCATTACCCTCCCTCTACCTGCTGCTCACGCTCTGGGGATGCAGCCCAGCACATGGTGGGGTTCTGGGCTCAAGCACACACTGAAGCCGAGTCCTGGGGAGCTTCTTGTCAACCAACACCCCCAAGTCCTCCTCAGGGCTTCTCTCAACCCATTCTCTGCCTAGCATGTATGGTTGTTATCAGAGGTGATGCCAAGAACACCTCCCTTCACCTCTGGGCTTTTAGTATTGATGCATTTCTCTTGCAATTTGCAACTGTCTTCTTGGATCATGAAGGACATCTTTGTCAAGGGTCCAGTCATTTCCCACCTGGCACTAACTGTGTTGGTGCCCCTAATACAGCAGCTGCTAGGGTAATTTTCTGGCTCTAGCAGAGGGGTGTGTTTAATTGGGCTCAGCTTCATTCTGGGTGGCAATGGCTTGCCACTTCATCTTCCCCAAAACAGGCTTTTTTGAGGGATATTTCTGCTTTGGGGAAGATCTGGAGTACAAGTGAGTCACATTTCCTGATGGATCGTTTCTTTTTTAAGTGCTTGAGAAATTGACATTGCTGAGCCACTCTCATTTCCTGTGTGCCAGGAGCAATTCTTCAAACCCCCACTAATTCTGTAACAGCTTTGATTGACATGTCTCACTGTGCTGTTTTCTTTGCTGTCAGTGCTCTACCCTTATTGAATTTTCACAACTGAAATACGCAAAGCAAACACACACCTGAGATTAGGGCTCAGAGAAAAGTAATTTACAACCAAGGGAAAAGATTATTTTTAGATAGAATATTAAGTATTTTTCTAGCAAAACAGTCCTGTACATACTTGATCTGGGGAGGGTTAAAAGAACTGAATGATCTAAAATAAGTAAGCAGTTTTATAACATTGCTTATCTCCATAGTATCAAAATATTGAAAATAAAATCAGTATGAAATGTACATAGACCCTTATTTTAATTCAGATTAACTTCAGATGAGCCATGATTGCATAATTCTGAAGATAAATGTACAGGAAGTCTAATGTTTTTCCAAGCAAATGAAAACCAAAATGTATTGTGATTTTTAGTGCCATTTTTAAGACATTTAACACTACAAAGCACGAAACAAATCTCTGGAGAAGTCTATTTCATGACATTTTTGTATTTTACATCTTTTTCCCTGAAAAGGTATTGGTAAATTTAATAAGCAACAGCAAATATTCAAAGGTTTTTAGGTAGAAAAAGGGCATCCCATGCATTTCCAGCACAGATCCATCAGTCAGTTTAAGTATAATGTTAACCTGAACATTCATTCCAGTCTGCACTGATCTTTGTGAAGAGTTTCAGCAATATTTGGTTATATTTAATGCGGAAGTTTACATAAAGTAGTAGAATGTCTTCAATAGGGAAATCTAAGAAGTAAACCCAAACTTGATTATTGATGTTACACTTTTTTACTTTACTTCCCCTTGTCGTCTCTGTTTTCACAGGTAACTGCAAGTCTCCCTATACAATAAAAATCAGAATTTAACTAAAACACAGCAGTCATGTTGAGTACTTTCTGCTCCCGAAGCCAATTATTAGTGCTGAATGGACCACAAGCTAGAGCTGCACCACTAAAGCAGGGAAATGCTTCTCGTCATGTGTTACCTCAATGTCCTGGCTGAGCTGTTTAACGATGCTTGTCTGGATGTGGTTTTCCAGCAGCTGCTGGGCAGCAGTCTCCCGATGGTGATAACCTGTGCTTTCCTGGAGGTAAGTGATGATGTCGTCTTTGATTTGGAAAGCCTCACGGAGGAGGAAAGCTATGGTCCGTTCCTGGCAGGATAACTGCTGTTCCAGCAGGCGAGCCCTGTCTCCAGGACATGGTGGAGGCGAAAGGTCTCTCCTGTGAACACCAAAAAACCTGGTGTCACACCACTCCCGGCAAGCAAGACTAAGGGGTGGGACTGTTGGTTATCTCCTGTCCACAGTAGGACCAGTAGACAGCCCTGGCTGTCCAGATTGTCTCTTGTACCAGGGGCTTTGATGCTCCTGTGCATTGCTTATGCATCCCTGCAATGCCACAAGCAATAACAACCTCTCCAAGCAAGACTAACTATTGGGCATTGCCCCCATTAATGGCCTTGGAGATGAAATGACATTTTTGCAGCTATTGGGCAAAACCCATACAGCTTAAGCACCAGAGCTTGGTTTCAAAGGCTTTGAGGTACTTCCATAGTATATCATCATTGCAGTCCTCATTTTAAGCTCTTCCTATGTTATTTTAAATAAAGGCAAATACAAACACACCCAGTGACCACCTTCCAAAACACCCGGTGGATGTGGTGATGCTCATGCAGACCATCTGCAGGAACACCCCATGGCTGAGAGCGGGCAGAAGGAGAGCTCATGCCAAGTACAGCTACACTTGTGTTTGGTTTGCCTTTGTATTATTTATACCTACTTCCTGCAAAGAAGTCTGAAATCCTGTTTTCTTACAGCTACCCCCTCTTCATCTGCCTGCTGAAACCCAGGGGACTGAGACAAAAGCTCAAATACATTCACTGAAACTGTGTATAAATACAGAAGAGAGATAGGACATTGCAAGGATCTGAAATTGGCAGGTACAGAATGAAGCTCAATATAGATAGGCACAATCTGGAGTTTGAGGGAAGCTAGAGTAACTGTTTACTTTTTTGTAAAAAGACAGAGATTCAGTTACTGCAGAACTTTGGTTTTGCATGTTATCCAGAAAATGAAGCTTGGTTTATGTCTTAGTTTAGTCCGAACAGCGTATTTTTATGCTCTCAATCCTTTATGGTGTACTATTTCATCATACAGTTTAGCTAAACCCTGTAGCTTAATGATGAAGAAAAATAGTCATTTGGGAATGAAGTCATACACATATTCTTTTGATTTCTGCTTTTAGACTGCTAAAAATAAAAGTCATGATGTAAAAATAATTTTTAAACAAGAAAAGTGAAGAGAGAGAGTTCAGATACCCTACTCAATCAATACACAAAACATAAAGATGACAGTTTAACGACTGAAGTGTGCCTAAGGACACTGCAACAAATTTACAGCCATATGGGCTGCAATGATGTTCTGCAGCTGGCTTATGTCTGCGTGTACCAGGGCTACATTATATTTGTCTGCGCAATTAAGGTTTTAAAATAAACATAACCTTTGGCAGCCATGAAGTACCAAACGATTCAAACACTCAGTTTCAATTTCCTCTTGGTAAAAACTCTAAATATCAAAATGACCAGCTGAGGCTGTGTGAGCTCTCTTCTGCCTGTGGCACCACAAGTCACTGGTTGAAAATGATGTGTGTCCACAATAATTTTTTTCCCCCTTCAGTTTTCAAAAGCATCTTATTTCTTACAAACCAACTTAAAAAAAATGAAACAAAATAACAACAAAAAACAAAACAAAACAAAACAAAACAACAAAAAAAACCAAAACCCAAAAAACAACAACAAAACAAACAAACAACCGAACAAAAAAACGGAAAAGGAAAAAAAAAAGAAGATACTGTATTAAAGGAAGTGGTTGTATGAGGATGTAAAAGTCCAGTGGAATCCTCTGGTGTACAGCTTATGCTCTGTAGTCAGTCTCAAGGCTTAGGCTTCAGTTACACAATCTTACCTGACTTGTCCATGACCTTGAGTGCAGACCACATACGTATGGAACAGGACACCTTAACTCAAGGCACTCTTAAGTAAGTCAGACATGAGTCTTCCCACATTGCATTTTCTACGCATGCAGCCAGCCACATGCACCATGGCTCCAGCAGTGCACGGCAGTGCAAGAGTGGTGGCTTGATTTGAGCCTAAGCCCTGCTAAAGAGTTGCAAAGAACTTAAATGTATGATCTCTGAAGCTTTATTCCCCTTAGACTCTGCATTTCCACCTGCCTTGCAGCCAGTTTCCTCCTGTGTTGTCTCAGGGAATTGCCCTCAGACCCTTCACTGGTAGCCAAGCTGGTCCAGTGACTCCCACGACCAGCAGAAATGAGTGTTGTTCTCCCATCCCTCTCTCCTGCTCTTCCCTCTGCTCCTTTTCTCCACTCCTAGTCACCCAGTCCCATTCCTGTATTCACATCAGCAGAGGGAGAAGAGCTAGAGAGGCAAAGAATTAAAAAAAAACACATCAAAACAAATAAACAAAACAAAAAACAAACAAAAAAAAACCCCAAAAAACCAAACCAAACCAAATCATAACAAAAAAATCCCCTGGAAACCAGCAGTTAATCAACAGGCTAACAAGAAGTTCTGCTGTTACAGTGACTGTCTCAAGCCCCTTGCGAAGGGCTGGAGCCTGCAGAGTGCCTGTCACTGGCCTGGAAGCCCTCAGAGGCCAGCCAGACTCTGAGCAAGCTGTTGTCAGCTTGGGGTGCATCTCCAAATTTGGACATCTGGGAGCACAGGAGATGGCTACCTTGCATGAGCTATCTTCCTCCTCATTTCAAGACTGGGACTCATCACCCTCTACCTGCTGTCACCTTGTGTCAGTTTGAAGGCTCATACGTATAATCCATGTCATAAAATTCAGTCTGCACTGGAAGATCTCCCAAAGATTTAGATCCATCATTTACAGAATTAACCTCTGCTATCTTGTCGGTATTCTAATTTAATGAAAATTTTAGGTTTTATTTCGTTCGGCTTTACTAGTGCAAACGTAGATTTAGAAAGTCCAAGCCACTTTGGTTTATTACTGACCTCCTTCAAAATGCTGAGTATGTGAAAAGGCTGACTGCTTTAAACACATCAGTTACTACTATCAGTCATAATTAACTGCCGAGTGGACAAGCCAAGAAGGTCTTCAGATTCCAAGGACTTCACACACTACAAAGTACTTTACACCAGTTGCTCCCTCAATGCCACGATGCTTTCTACAGGCAGAGCCATCTCCTGTGGTCAACGTAGGTGAGATGCTCTATTCTCCAGCTGAAGTGCTAAAGCATACACATTAATGGCCTTAAAGTATCCAGGTATTACCAGAAAAGAGAGAGACTGCTAGAAAATGAAGGAAGCTCTTATTAAGAGCTCCCTGAATATGCTGCTCCCACAAGACTGAGGTTTGAAGGGCCAGGAGAAACTGTATCAGAAGACGTTCCAAATCCTGAGCTCAGGTGCTCACGGGATGTCCAAGAGAAAGCACGTCAAGCAACTGAAAGAAGAAAATGAAGTGAGGAAGCAGGATTAGTTGTATCAGATCTACAGTCTGGGTCTGAAGGCTGAGGGTAGCAGAGATGAGCTGGTGGGAGGTGGGAAGAGAAGAGTTTCCCATGACCTTCACATTCCTCCAGCCAGGATGCCTTCATTTCCCCATGGTGTCTGGGATCTTCCCTCCCTTCTTCCCCAGTAACACAGCCCGCAAATCCACTCCACCAGCCCAGAGCCAGCATGCCTGGGGTAGCTCCAAGCTGTGTTTGCACTTCTGTGCGCAAGAAGACCAACCAAATAAGATGCAATAAAATCAAATGACTGTCACTTCACACTGGAGATCAGCAGTGACACTTCTCTGCAGGTTCACGGGACCTCTGGCCTCTGATCTCTCTAAACTTCCCAGAAAGTCAAAACTTTGAGCACTAAAGTTTCTATCCAATATGTTTGAAATGCCCAAGGAATAAAAAAGTCATTAAAAGAAGAGCAACTTCACTTTCCTCGAGAAGCAGATGAGCAGCAATGAACAGAGACTTGAGGAACCACTGTACACAGGGGAAAAAAGAAAAAATAAAAAAATTCAAATGGGGCAAATGCTGTATTTCCTGGGACATGGAATACAAGGACCTGCATTTTTGTTACTACTGAGAGTGCTTTAGTCGAAAAAGGAGGGTCATTTGGCTTCTAGTGAATAACTTCATTGTTCTGCCAGTTAGATTATGACCATTTCCTAACAGACTTTTCTTGAATGTCCTTTGTAGATGCAAATCCATCCTTATTTCTCTGCTTATTCAGCAGAGAGAAGGCAAGGAAATGACTTAGGGAGAGTCTGGACTTTTCCTGGTTGGGCTGCTGATAGGGGCGTAGGAGAAAATACATCTAAGATCTAAACACAGGATGTATTTTTTGTGCATTGTTCCAGGATACTGCTGCCATTCCCAACATAGGGACTTTCCTACCAGCATGTCCCTCCCTTTCTTACCAGTTACCTCCACCACCCCTGCACGGTGCTAATGCCAGAAATGAGTCCTGCACTGCACAATGCTCACTGACAGAAGGACAAGGCTGAGGAAGCAGAGATGTTCCTCAGGGCTGAAAAATAGCTCCTGACCAACCCAAGCTGTTGCATGACTGAGTTAATTCATGCATTGCATAAATAATTTATTTCTGTTTGGCATTTGGAAATCCATATCCAAGGAAGAATTTCTACAACCACCGACAGGCAGTTTGCCAATGACTCCATGTCCTTAAAATTCCTACCTGCTGAGGGTAAAGCAGTTTGTATTTTTGGTGTAGATCACTCTGCCCTTCCTGCAGTGTCTTTCTTCCCCATTATAACTCAGTTGCAGAATTCTTCCACCCTCCCTGAGAGCCGGGGAAGCACCTGCTGTGCAGAAACTGTGTTACAAAATCCCTCCAAGAAGTGTCTGAAGCAAAGGGTAAATCTGGCTGCACAGGATGGTTTCACCAGAGCTATGTATACACAGATCTGGAAAAAGCCTTCTAAACGCACTTCGTGAGAAGCGTGAGAGGAGAATTGTGGAGTCACAGAATAGTTAGGGTTGGAAAGGACCTTAAGATCATCTAGTTCCAACCCCCCCTGCCATGGGCAGGGATGTCTCCCACTAGGCCATGTCGCCCAAGGCTCTGCCCAGCCTGGCCTTGAACACTGCCAGGGATGGAGCATTCACCACTTTGGGCACTTCTCTGAGCCTGTTCCAGGGCCTCACCACCCTCAC